CTAGAGGTGCAGATAGCAGGGGGCAATGAGAGTGGGTAGGGGGCTACCCCCCCACCCAAATGAAGTTGATTTATTAATGGAGCAACAAATGTTCTCATTAGTCTGAAGTGACTTGGCCCTCTCCATGAACAATTAGATACAATTAGGTAGCAACGCCTACTACTGCTAACATATTTTAGCAAAAATCACCTGTTTTTGAACCACATAGATTTGCTTGTATTTTAGCAAAGTACTTGTTTGGACGGTGTAATATAATTTAATTTGGTAGTCATCATTATCCATTATCTTTTCAATAGTATTTTTATTCCTCTATCATATATTCATCGAATACGCAAATGCATGCTTAAAGAAGGTGAGAGCAGCGTCTATGTAAAGTTAGCAAAAGTAGTACTTGTATATGATTCACAAGATAAAGTTAAACAAATGCTTGCGTTGCCCACCGGAGTGATGGGAAATTAACACGGGTCATTGGAGCAGGACATTAAAAGGTGTGGTTCGACTCTGACCCTACCACTGATTGCATGCGGCAGGGCAGCTAAAGGGTCGCTCCAACCCGCACCCTTTGCAGCCCTATGCATATATGGTGCAAATTTAATTATAATAACTATTTTTTTAATTTGTTCACTAGTACAAAAACAAGCTGTACTCCCGGTCGGAAAACCCCTTCAGTACCGGTTTTCCAACCGGGAGCACGAATCCGGGACTAAAGGGCCCCTCCTTTAGTCCCGGTTTCTCGTTCGGGACAAAAGGTCCACCTTTAGTTCCGGTTGATAATACCAACCGGGGCTAAAGAGGCCTCCTGGCCTGGACTAAAGGTTTTCTTTTTTTTGTTTCTATTTTCAATTGATGATTGTCAACTACATCATATAAAAACAGAGAATATTACACAACTCTTCTTGCAAGTGCTTAGTATCTAAAAATATTACCCAAGTATGAACAACTAGAGCTTCACTGTATCTAAGAATGTTACCCAAGTATCATACATCCAGCACAGTTCAAACACAATACTACAACATTTCGAGTATGCTACAAGTGCCATTTTTTACATCATGACTAAAACACTAGATACAGCTAATACTACCTACAAACAGCAGTAGCAAAATGAATCACTCTGCTTCTGAACTGCTGCTGCATAGCCATGCAGATAAGCAACGCTCCAGATCTAGTCTGCCATAACGAATCCACTCAGAAATCTGTCAAATCGTGACAAAAACCAAATCCACTAGCAGCTCAGTGCAGCAACAAATAGAATTAGCACACAAAGTACCAGCAAAGAAGAGGAAAGGAGGGAATGAATACCTGTGCTGATCCCTGTTGTGTTCTTCGTCGACAGGAGTCAGGCTGCCGCCCGTGCGAGCTCACCGGAGCTGCTGCTGCTGGTTCCCTGCATGTCGCCGGAGCTGCAGCTGGCACTAGCTCTCTCGTCTCTACCGGGATCTGAGAAGTCATTGGTGGAGAGGAGAGATTAGGCCGGAGCTGGTGCTGGGGCGAGGGCCCACGCGCGCCGCCGGGAGCTGAGGGCCCCTGCGCGCGCCGCAACCTCATGCCGTCGGGATCTGGGGAGGGCGCACACGATGACGCGAGCTGAGGAGCCGTAGGACCGCCGCTGCATCGCCCCTGCTGCCTGACGCCGATGAGAGAGAGGGGTCATGAACGGGAGGTGGAGAGAGAGGGACGATGCCTGTGGTAAGGGAGGGAGGGTCGGAGGGGAGAAAGAGAGAGGGTGAGGGGCGGCTGACGGGTAGGGAGACAGGGAGGGAGCCTAGGGTATATAGGAGGGGACCTTTAGTCCCGGTTGGAGACAGCAACCGAGACTAAATGTCCCTTTCTAGTCCCGGACGAAGCCTCTAACCGGGAGTAGACTTTTACTCCCAACCGGGAGTAAAAGTTAACCTTTAGTCCCGGTTGATAGCTCCAACCGGGACTAAAGGTCCCCTGCAGCAAAAGTCTGCCGCAGTAGCCGTTGGGCAGGGACCTTTAGTCCCGGTTGAAGCTACCAACCGGGACTAAAGGTTTCTCTAGTCCCAGGCGCGAAAAATATCGGGACTAAAGCCAAATTTCAAAGTGGATCAAAAGTCGTTTCTCTACTGGTGGTTGTGGGTGCACCCGCACTCACAGCTCTTAACATAGATTCATCGTTGGATTCGCCGCCTAGAATCTGTCTATAATAAAAACAAACTGGCAAGAAACCTTGCATGTGAGGTGAAAATTTTCATTTCGCCCTAATCTCTTCTTTTGGTGTTGAAACACAATAGTCCTAGAGGTCCAATAGCTAGCAAAGCAAATGTGTGGAAATCAGGGGTGACAGCAGGGGTGGGGGCCTAAGCCCCTCTCACCCCAACCCCACCAAAATGAAGCTGATTTATTAAAGGAGACAATGATCTCACTAATCCACAACGGCTTCCCTCTCATGAACAAACAGATAGAAACTGAGCGCCGACTTCACAACTGGTTGAAAACATCTTAGAGCGACATGTTGCAAAGCAAACATCTACATGAGCCAAAGGTTTCAAAAAAAATCTACATGAGCCAATAGAGTAGGTTTGACGTCATATCTATTTATGTAGGCAACTATCACGTGAACCCCTCCATCGTGCACGCACGGAGATCGGAGGTCCAATTCCAGTGATATTTTGAACCCTAGCTACAGTTGCAGAATAGTGACAGAGCCACTAGTGGGCCCACGTGGTAAATAAATAAAGTTGTTGCATGCTCCTCCTCTTCCTCGCTAGCTCCTATAGCATACATTTTCTTTGCGCTGCTCACTCTAACTAGAGAAACAATTTCAACGAATGGACATCGGCACAAGAACATGCACCGCTCTTAGTGTTGGGGAAGTAGGAATTCAGTGAGAACAACCCCCATGAAACAATCGTGGGCACCCACCATGGATCACAACACGTGTTCATGCACATGCGTCTAACACATGGGACTATGGCTTAACTTTAGGAGGAATAATTAGAAAAAAAAAACTACAATTATCATGCATTGGGTGCATATGAATAGACATGTGTCAAGAATCCATAGTGGGTGCCTACGAGTGATCCATGAGGACAGTCCTCACAGATTTTTTTTTTCTTGCGGGCAGCATAGGCTAGTGATATGTGCAGACAGCTAGCCAGTGTGTTGTTTCATTTCACACGGTGTCATTAAAGGGTGGGCAGAAAGTTTAATAGCCCAGCCCAAGCCCACCACACGGTAAGCCTTTGCATATAGCCCACTTTCTCAAAGAAGTCCATTTTTCAATCTGTATGAGTGTACATGCAGATTGTTTCTTTCCCCGGTCATTGACGAATCTCTGCATGGCGAAGCTTGAGAAAAATAAAGGTATAAGCTGTTTGAACGCAAGCATAGCGATCGAGGCAAACATATTTTTAAGTAGCCATGTCTTGATAATACACCAGCACTGTCCTGTCCACTAATACTCTTGAGGGATATCTAAGTCATTTTGCTTGATGCTTATTTAATTTATGCTAGACTTTTGTAACACCTTTGTTAGTAGGACGGAGGGAGCCCATAATTATCACTCCTGTGAGAATGGTCACACCTATCACAACATAATGTAAAGTCTTATTTGGCAGAGGTTCTCGAGTAGCTTCAGGAACTATTTAGGACCTGTTTGGATTCCACGGCAAAATTTTAGTCCTGCACTTTTAGCCTATTTTTTTTTTGCCATGGGATCCAAACATGTGGACTAAAAGTGAGCAAACGGGAGGAAAAGTGTATTTGGCCATTTGCTCCTCAAGAGGCCCTAAACTGAGCTCAAGAGGAAAAAAGGAAGAGAGAGAGAAGGGCATCATGATTATTTTACTTTTTTTTTACTATGATGAGGAACCAAACGTTTCAGAAAAATAGCTTCGACTTCACCGGTAGTAGAGTTGCTTGTGAGGTGACTGTGTCAAACGGGTATAATCTGCGTGTACTTTTGAACCTTGCCACGCTGATTTCCTTTTCTTGAAACAAAGGATCGTCCAATTATTACAGCAGATTTTTCTTGTCAGTTTGGTCTGTCGACCGTGGGCAGTGGGTTGTCTGCCCCGTCTTCTGGTTGTGGATCAGGTCGGCTTTCTTCCGTGCGTTGGCCGGCGGAATGGCAAGTGTGTGTGTGTGGGTGGGTGGGTGGGGGTGGACCTGGGCAACGTCTGAACTCTGGAGATGGTGGAACGGGCGCACGGCGTCCATGTCAGGACGGCGTTTTCGCCCTTTGTGCACGGGATCATCGGAGCCTAAAACGATTAACCACTCGCAGAATCTCTAGCCAAGGCTCACAGTACAAAGAATGATGTGAGACGACGGACAGAGCTGTGTGTGAGCGCGACGCGGCCGTGCGGGAACGGGCGCCAGTGAACCGAAAGATCAGGCCCGTGGGCGTGGCACGTACGGCCCCAGGAAGGAGACGCCGAGACGACGCGATGAAGCCGTCGCTTCGCTTGGCATTGGCTGGCAGATCCCGTGTGGATCGATGATGAATGTTTTCGCCCTTTGTGGACGGGATCATCGGAGCCTAAAACGATTAACCACTCGCAGAATCTCTAGCCAAGGCTCACAGTGCAAAGAATGATGTGAGACGACGGACAGAGCTGTGTGTGAGCGCGACGCGGCCGTGCGGGAACGGGCGCCAGTGAACCGAAAGATCAGGCCCGTGGGCGTGGCACGTACGGCCCCAGGAAGGAGACGCCGAGACGACGCGATGAAGCCGTCGCTTCGCTTGGCATTGGCTGGCAGATCCCGTGTGGATCGATGATGAATAGCACAGAGGTGTACAAAACAGAAGTCTTGGCCAGGGAAAGCAAAAACAAAGACACCAGCCGCGGCGGCAAAGCGCACCTGTCCAACCGCGCCTCAGCCAAAGTACCAAACCCATCGCCGCCCGCCTGCCTTCTCCTCGCAAAACGCCGCCGCGGCGGCAGCCTGCCGGTCTTTGACTAAGGAGAGGAGAGATGAGGCGCGTCGCTCGGTGGCCAGCGAAGTGAGTTTCCGAGGGGAGACTAAAGAGATCGATGCGGGCCTCGGCGTCGGCGGCGGCACTGCTGCTCCTGCCGTGGATGCTGCTGCTGCATGCGGAAGCCGCGGGCAACGGGAGCTGCGCGCGGACCTGCGGGGCCTTGACGGTGCAGTACCCGTTCGGCTTCTCCCCCGGCTGCGAGATACCGCTCGGGTGCGAGGACCAGGCGAACGGCACCGCGTGGCTCGGGGAGACGCGCGAGCTGGGCCTGCTGGTGCACAACGTCACGGCGCGCGCCGTCGTCCTCGCCGTGCCCCAGGACGGCGACAGGTACCTCGACAGGTCGTCCCGGTGCAACACCACCACCGAGCCCATCCGCTGCGTCGACCACCAGTCGTACCTTGACAGCATTCTTAGGAAATGTGGACTGTCAAAAGATGCCATACATAAAGGAGTATGGTAGCAAGGCTGATGCAAAGCCTCTGGCAGATATTATCGAGATGTCGCCACAAATGCTTCTGGAATGCTTGAAGGCATTCTATGGCATTGTGACTGGAACAGAAGGTTCCTTGCCTGAATTTGAGCAACTGCAGGTTCCAAGGTTACGTTCAGATGCCTGCTATGGTTTGGCAAGAGCTCTAGCAGAATCTTATGAGCTCATTTACAGTGCAGTGATGGATCCAAATAACAGTTATCCTGACCCAAGGTCGTTGGTTAAGCACTCTCCTGAACAGATAAGAAGTATACTGGAAATCTGAGGTCTTTGCACCATGCCTTTTGATACTATGTTAAGTAGAGGTGTTTCATGCACGAAACATTTGCGATGTAAATTTCCGACTACAAGCTGTGGGTTCAATTGATTACAGAAATATTGAAGTGGTGACTCTTTTTCTGAACTCATGTATCATTATCTAGTGTCTCACTGTCTCCTCTATTCCTTTTTACTTTATATATCAAAGTTATTTTTTACTTCGGTGCTGTAATTTTGAGGTACAGCTTGACCGATTAATATGATACCAGTTGTATACCAAAGCTACTATCCAAGCATGTTAAATAGCTTTGATATAAAATGCCATTTTTTCAGTTCAGTAAAACATCAAAGCTCAATCATAATTCTCGATTATTTTCAGTACCGCGCACCTGCAGCAGATTCTGCTTCAGCTGTCCTTATATTGTTTCTGTGTTTGCTTATTATATTGTGCTTTGATTCTGCTGATTAACCAGCTGCAATGGTTGACTCCACCTGAGGAGTGCACGCTGAAGTTTGGCAGGTGTGGAAACTGGAAACAGTTGTTGGCAGTCAAGAATTCAAGATCCAAGGCTGTCTAGGTTGAAGAAAAAAAAAAATCTGTCAGACATGTTACCTGGGTTTGAAATAATCTGTCTAGGCTGAAGTGTCGTCTGGTCAGTATCCTTAATTTCCGCAGTGCATATGGGCTTGCTATGTCTCTTCCTTTGAACCTTTTGTACAGAGGCTATAGCTCCGGCCATTTTAAGGTAAATCGTCTGCTGGAACCCTAAATCCTTTATCTATATCTAATATTAAAACACAGAAATTTCTTTGATCCGTCATCCTCACTTTCTAAATCACACTCCCATCTTTTCTACACTCCAAAACAACCCTTCTCGCTCCCCATAATACTAGTCACAACGTAGGAATATGTCGATGCTGAAAGAAGAAAGAGAGAGTACTTAAGCATCGAATCATCAAAGTTACAGCGACCGATGCTAACTCCAAAATTCTACCAAGCGAGACAAGAAGATGACTCGATGCTAGCCAAATAAAAAATGATTTCTCAGCTGGCTAATAGACACTTAATCGAGTGCAAGAAACATTGGTCGTTCTGTGAAAGGTTTGGCCCACATGCTTATGCACCTCGATGTCCTCGATGCTGAACGTTGTGCGGCAAGAAGAGCTTTGAGCATCGGTGCTGATGGCATGCGCATTAGTTTTTCTGGCATCGATTACATTGTGGTAGGCTACATCACTCTCTAAATTCAATACACGATAGTTCTATTATGAATCTTTTCACATAAGAAGAAAATTATGATAAGTCATTAGAACATATATTTAGACGCATAATGAAAGCTAGTATGTGTTTAGAAAAGACTGAATGACTGATAATCTATAATGGAGGGAGTATTAACTTATTTTAGCTGATCAAACGTGAACTACGTTAGCACACTGCTCACGGTCTGCTTACTTACCTAACTCACCTGTCACCTCGTAATCTAAGCAGCCGCATGGACTTTTGAACCGGCCTGCGCACGCTACTAGTTTCCTTTTTCCTACAATAAAAGATTGCCCAATTGCTGCCGGTTTTTCTCGTCCATTTGGTCTGATCGTGGGCTGTCTGCCCGTGCCCTGGCTGTGGATCAGGTCGGCCACTCGGGCTCCCTTCCGTGCGTTGGCGGGCGGAATGACAAGTGGGGGGTGGTGGAACGGAACTGGAACGGGCGGCGTCGAGGTCGCCGGTCCACGCAGGCGGGGATGATGTGTGACGGCCTAAGCCGTGACCGCGACGGGAGAGCGATCTTTACGGGACGGGGCCGTGTGGGAACGGGCGCCCGGCACATCACGACAGCTCCCCGCGTTCCTCTGAAGTGACACGATACACGACCCCATCAAGGAGACGCCAAGAAGACGAAGCGATCGCTTGGCGGATCCCCCCATGGTCGATGTAGGAATGCAGCAGACGTGTACGTGCGGCGGGGGCCAGCGATGAGCTGCGTGTACAGACGTACAGTACATTATGGGGCATGAGATTGAAAGGAGCAGTAGGACTCTAGGAGTAGGTTAGTCGTTGGTCCGAATGGCCCCGGCTTTAATGCTGAATTCTGCGCCACGTGGAACGCAAAAACTGTTCATTTAGTATGGTTTGGTGGATAAGTCACGACTAAAAGTAATATTGATTAATTTAGTGTGAGAGAAAAATATTATTTGTTAACTGAAAAGTACGATTTATAAATAAGACGAGGCCAAATGAACAGGGCGAAACACCAGCCGCGGCGGCAAGCGCACCTGTCCAACCGCGCCTCAGCCAAACCAAACCCATCGCCGCCCGCCCGCCCGCCTTCTCCTCGCTACGCCAACACCGCCGCGGCGGCAGCCTGCCGGTCTTTGACTAAGGAGAGATGAGGCGCGTCGCTCGGTGGTCAGCGTAGTGAGTTTCCGAGGGGAGACTAGAGAGATCGATGCGGGGCTTGGCGGCGGCACTGCTGCTCCTGCCGTGGATGCTGCTGCTGCTGCATGCGGCAGCCGTGGGCAACGGGAGCTGCGCGCGGAGCTGCGGGGCCTTGACGGTGCAGTACCCGTTCGGCTTCTCCCCCGGCTGCGAGATACCGCTCGGCTGCGACCAGGCGAACGGCACGGCGTGGCTCGGGGGCGCGCGCGAGCTGGGCCTGCTCGTGTCCAACGTCACGGCGCGCGCGCTCTTCCTCGCCCTGCGCCCAAACTGCTCCCGGAGGCTCAACGCCTCCCTCGAGGCGCTCTTCACGAAGACGTACGCGCCCGGCAGGCAGAACGCGCTCGTTGTGAGCTCGTGCAGGCCCGCCTCCCTGGCCGCCGACATCAGCAACTGCAGCGTCCACCCTAGCGCTTACTTCGACAACTCGTCCCAGTGCGGCCGCGGCGCCGCGGACTCCATCCACTGCGTCGTGCCGACACAGCCAACCAGCGACGACAACATCCGCGTCCCCGACCGTTTCTTAAACAGAACCGAGATGCAAACGCTCGCCGCAGAATGCACCGGGCTGGTGGCGGCGGTGAGCTACGACTGGGACGCGCCGGCGCCGGCGCTGCTGCTATCCACGATGGAGCTGGAGTGGTGGATGCTCGGGCCGTGCCGATGCTCGCGCCAAGCTAACTGCACCCGGGTCACCACGCCGGACGCAAGGCAGGAGGCGTTCCGGTGCGAGTGCCGAGTGGGCTTCGAGGGCGACGGCTTCGCCGAGGGCGCCGGTTGCCGGAAAGGTCAGTGCACCGCGCCCGCACGCGCGCAGCTAGACGTCATTTAATTACTATATTTATTTTATTTCCCTCGTCTCCGAGCGTCGTTGGTTGAATTGGTGAGTCAAATTGTGCGAGCTAGCCAATTTGTTAGAACGGTTGACTCCGCTCATGCATCCAGCTCGCACCACCAGAATGGCTTGGACCATGGGCTCCGCTATCAAATGGCCGTAATCATATCGACGTCTGAGCAAACCGCGACGGGAGAGCGATCTTTACGGGACGGGACAGTGTGGGAACGGGCGCCCGGCACATCACGACAGCTCCCCGCGTTCCTCTGAAGTGACACGATACACGACCCCAGCAAGGAGACGCCAAGAAGACGAAGCCATCGCTTGGCGGATCCCCATGGTCGATGTAGGAATGCAGCAGACGTGTACGTGCGGCGGGGGCCAGCATTGAGATCGATGCAGGGCTCGGCGGCGGCACGGCTGCTCCTGCCGTGGCTGCTGCAGCCGCTGCATGCGGCAGACGCGGGCAACGGCAGCTGCGCGCGGAGCTGCGGGGGCTTGACGGTGCAGTACCCGTTCGGCTTCTCCCCCGGCTGCGAGATACCGCTCGGGTGCGACGACCAGGCGAACGGCACCGCGTGGGTCGGCGGCGCGCGCGAGCTCGGCCTGCTGGTGCACAACGTCACGGCGCGCGCCGTCGTCCTCTCCCTGCCCCAGGACTGCTCCCGCAGACTCAACGCCTCAATCCAGGCGCTCTTCTCGAAGAGCTACGCGCCTGGCTCGCAGAACGCGCTCGTCGTGAGCGCGTGCAGCCCCGCCTAGCCGTCGCATACCAGCAACTGCAGCGACGGCGACAGTTACCTCGACAGGTCGTCCCAGTGCAACACCGCCGAGCCCATCCGCTGCGTCCTGCCACCAGTAGTCCCACCATCGATCAGCAGCGGTAGCGACCAACGTTTCTTCAACAGAACCGAGATGCAAACGCTCGCCGCAGAATGCACCGGGCTCGTGTCGGCGGCGAGCTACTGGGACGCGCCAGCGCTGCTGCTGGGCGTGATGGAACTGGAGTGGTGGGTGGTGGGCGAGACGTGCCGCTGCTCGCGCCACGCCACCTGCACCTCGGTCACCACGCCGATACCTGGGCAACAGTCGTTCCGGTGCGAGTGCCCCGAGGGGTTCCACGGCGATGGCTTCGCCGACGGCGACGGTTGCTGGAAAGGTCAGTGTGCCGCGCCCGCGCGCAGTCAAGTCTTATCGGTCCAACCTGTTACTACTCGGGTGTGCAAGGCTAATAACCGTTTGATTCAACAAAATAATTTAAGGTTTAAGAGCGACTCATTCGCAAAGTTAGCTTGTTATCTAGAGTTCACATTGACCGGATTATTCTACTACTTTGCTTGTCGATCGTCGGAAACCCTTCTCGGACCAGGAATGGAATCTTACCAGTAGGGCCCCCGGCCCCTCCTGTTCTTAAAAAAAACCTATAATTATAGGGTCGGTCCGTAAATTGTTAGAGAAACTCTAGCAATAGCCTCTAGATCATGGCCCCTACTTTTTATTTGATGGTTTTTCTATTTTTAAGATTCCTATTATTTGAAACAATAATGTTACAAGTTTATATAAATGACAGATATTGTATGAACTAAAAACGTCAGTTCAAATTTAAAAAGATAAATAAAGTTGCAAGATGTCACCAGAACCATAGTTTAACAAACAAAATTCATCGTATCAATCAAACTACGTGAAGTTATCAATGGACCAAAGGTGCTCGACGAGAATCCTTTCGTAATCTCTCATGTGCTTGCTTGTCTTCGATCAATCTCCTCATGGATCTTGAGGAACTCCAACAACACAAGTGGATTACGTTGTCGGTACTCCTCCCTCACCGCATAACACCATCTTGGTCATAGTCTTAGGCCTCATGGTCATCCTCACCCCGCTTATCCTTAAAGATCATGGTGTGCATGATCATCGTAGCTGTCATTAAGTGCCAAAGAGTGTCCTTATTCCATAATCGAGCAGGACCCCTCAACACCATAGCAAATTGAGCTTCCAGAATTCCAAATGCTCTCTCTACACATCTTTCATCATAGCTTCTTGAGCTGTTGTGAAATGAATTTTCTTGTTCCCTTGTGGATTTTGATAGCTCTTCACAAATGTTGCCTAAAAAGGTATATCCCACCTGCCAAATTACGGCACATATTTGGAACTTTAAACGACTTCAAACAAAAAAACTTTTCAACTTTCAACTACATAGTTGTTGATTGCGTTGAGGACTACAATTTGATATAAAGTTTGCCTTCATCCGAGTTCATATGGAAAATTTATGAATTATTTTTTGTTTAAATAAAAACTTTTCAATTACAAAGTTGTAGATCGCGTCAAGAGCTATAATTTTGATATAAAGTTTGTCTTCATCCAAGTTCATATGAAACGTTATGAATTATTTTTGGTTGCGACTATTTATAGCGACGGACTCCTTAACATGCCCGACTCTGAAAATAAACTTTTAGAGACTGATGCTTGGAATTACCGCCCCTGTTAATAGATAGCGCGGAGACGGGTGTCCTAAGATGACCACCTATGTTAATCGATAGTTTTTTTGGTGCGGTCACCTTAGGATGCCTGGCGAGCATTTTCCTTTATCCCCTGACCATTTACGGAGGCGGTCGCTAGGTGTGCTCGCCTTCGATAATCAGAGAGCCAGAGAGGTTTGTCTTCTAAAAATCATTTTTTTAAGTAGTAAATGCAAAAAAAACGACGAAACTTAAACTAAGGTTTTAACTGAATATTTATATGACATGGTTTTCTAGGATGTACGGTAAGGCGACGAGCTTGATGACTATAAATAATTGAAACAGATGTCAATAAATCTGTGTTATTCCCAAATCCCAACGTCAGCCATAAAACCTTGTTTAAAGTTTGTGCGATATTTATCTGAAAAAGTGAAAATGATTGTTCACAGACGGTACTTCATGGAAAATGTCCAAAAGCATCGGACTTGAAGCTGGACTTTCAGCCGCTGGCATGTTCATGGTGGTTTGCGTAGCAGTATTATTGCTTTATTATCTTAAGAAATGGAGGACAAGATATTCTAAAAAATCACAAGAGCCAAAACATATTCACAGCAACGAATGGATGGATGGAGAGTTTGAGATAGGGAACGGACCTAGGAGATTCAGCTACAGTGAGTTGTCGCAGGCGACAAGGGGATTTTCTGAAGACCTGAAGCTTGGAGAAGGCGGTTTTGGCTCAGTCTACCGAGGATTCTTTCATGACCAACGTCTTCATGTGGCCATCAAAAGGGTATCCAAAACTTCAAGGCAGGGGAGACGAGAGTTCATCTCCGAAGTAACCATCATAAGCCGGATCAGTCACCGCAACCTTGTTCATCTTGTTGGGTGGTGTCACGATGCCGATGAACTCTTGCTTGTCTATGAGCTCATGGAGAACGGTAGCCTTGACACTCATCTTTACAATTCAAGCAACGTTCTACCATGGCCCAGCAGGTATGATGAGATTTATGATGATCTGATCATTCATCCTTGCACTGTAAATCAAACTGATCATGATGTTCATGTCACACTGCAAATAAAATCAGGTACAATGCCGTTCTCTCCGTAGGCTATGCTCTCCTCTATCTGCATGAAGAATGTGAGAAATGCGTGTTGCACAGGGACATCAAGCCGAGCAACGTGATGCTTGACGTGTCGTTCAACGCGAAGCTGGGAGATTTTGGGCTGGCACGCCTCGTCGACCATAGCCGGCGGGAACGCACGACACTGCTGGCCGGGACCATCGGTTACATGGACCCGGAGTGCGCGGTGACCAGCAGGGCAAGTGTTGAATCCGACATGTACGCCTTCGGCGTCGTCCTCCTCGAGATCGCCTGCGGCCGGCAGCCTATCGTTCAGGACGAAGACGAGAAGAAGGTCCGGCTTGTTGATTGGGTCTGGCACATGTATGGCGGCGGCAAACTCCTCTACGCCGCGGATGCGCGGCTCAACGAGTTCGACGTGCCACAGATGGAGCGCGTCATGCTTGTCGGCCTCTGGTGCGTGCACCCGGATCATGGCTTCCGACCGTCGATCAGGCAAGCCATGAGCGTGCTCCAGTTCGTAGTCCCTCCCCCGGATCTCCCTCGGAAAATGATGGTGCCACTGTACTACATGCAGCAGCTAAATGGTGGTGGATATAGATGGCATTACGAGTCGTCGTCGGCCGGGAGCTCCGGCGACGGCGAGGGAGGGCAGCCATCGATGCCTGGCTCATTAATGGGAAAGAGCCACAGCCACGGGATACGTTCTTTCAGCACAGCCGGTCGACATGAAAAGATGCTGCAATAGTACGTATTGACGTTTTGGTCGGATCCACCATTTTGAGTCCCGTAAAGGTTCTATAAATCTGTCTATTTGTTTGTTGTAGGAACTAGTGTGTGTGGCTAGATTCTTTTGATACTTGGATGCCTACATTGTAATGCAATTCTTGCACTTTTATGATTAGAAGTGTACTATGATATACTCTGTCCATTTCAAATTATATGTCACCTTAGTTTTACTCTAAGTCAAACTTCTATAACTCCGACCAAGTTATATAATGCACCAACATCTACAGGATCAAATTAGTTTCATTGAATTCACCGTGAAATATATCATGATACTGCACTTATTTGAACTTGTAGATGCCAATATGTTTTTCTAAAAACTTAGTCGTAATTAGACAAAGGTTGACTTAGGACAAAATTAAAGTGGCCTATAATCAAGAACGAGGAAGTATCTTTTCAAGGTCCGCTGAAATGCTTTAGCCCGCAATTGTATGTTATATAATTGTTGTGATGAATCTAGTTGGGTAAAAAGTAAAACATATACGCACAGGAGAGAGCATGCAAGTGAAAGTGCATCTAGTCTAGTAAGATGATAAAGTGACTAAACGAGTAACTTATTTGTTTGGCAATATTGAGCAAGAACTTTTAGGTCCACAATACATTAGTGGTAAATGATATTCCCTCCATTCCAAATTATAAATTATTCCAACTTTCTTTCGAAGTCAAAGCATCTCAAGTTTGACCAAAATTATATAGAGAATTACAGAGATTTATGACATCAAATAGGTTATTATAAAAATATAATTAATAAAGAATCTAACGATACTTATTTGATATCATAAATGTTATTATTTATTATATAAATTTGGTTAACCTTAAGATGCTTTAACACTCCAAGAAAGTTAGAATAACTTATAATTTGGGGATGGAGGAATAGTTGATAGTGAAGAATGATTAAAACCTCAAATATAATGAAAACAAGCTGTGCTAGCCATGTCGATCGTACGTAGTGACCGGGATTGATTCCCCGGGAATCCGATTATTGTATCACTAGCTAATGAGTTATGCAAATTTTCACGGTCAGCATATATTGTACGTTGAAAACGCTAGATTCCTGAGAATTCTCACCGGAATATTGAACTATGCATGTCTTTATAGTAGTTATACTAGAATCATGCCCGTGCGTTGCACGGCAGCACAAATTTTTTCTACGCTTACAACGACGGATTTGATCATTTTCAGAAATTAATAAAAGTTAATAAGCGATTTTGCATTGGGAACCCAAAACTATTTTCAAATCGCAGATGGGATCCATCCTCCGTCACGAATGAGGGAGGTCCAGAGAATTGGGGATGCTAAGCTGCGGTAGTGCTGATCCAACTTAGCCTCCTTGGCTAGGGTTTAGTGGAATGTGCGGACGATGGTGACCACAAATTGTTGGGTGCATGATAGCTTTTTTTTGTACATGAATTGCTGGAGGACATGAGCGGGAGCCTTGATTCTGCGTGTGGACGATCCGGAGCGAGCGGGGTGATGGCATCGGCACGAGTGGGTCGAGCGGGGCGGGGCGACAACGGTGATTATGCTATGTTTTTTAGTTGTACAGATATATTTCCTTGCGTTGCACCGGAACCTTAAATTTTTATCACGCCTACGGCCAATAACACAATTAACACTTAATAGGGTTTTTGTTCAAAAATCGCTAATGGGGTGATCAAGTCAAACACTTCGACGTCAAGTTTTTTTTAAATCCTAAATTCATCTAGGTTTTAGTTTAGGAAGAGAAGTTTTCGGATATCCTATTCTAAACTTCGGATAATCTATATCCACTTAATTTTGCCGGTTATATATTTTATCCCGCCTCCGCACACAACTGGATTCGGATTATTCGTATCCGTATGCATATTAAAAGTGTTCTCCATGTCTACAAAATTCGGATTAAAATTAGTTTTAGTTTAGGAAGAGAAGTTTTCGGATATCCTATTTTAAACTTCGGATAATCTACATCCACTTAATTTTGCTGGTCCTATATTTTATCCTGCCTCCGCGCACACACCGGATTCGGATTATTCGTATCCGTATGCATATTTAAAGTGTTCTCCATGTGTACAAAATTCGGATTAAAATTATCACATACAGTCTAGAAATAATTATTTAGTGAACGAGAGCATGCCGACCCGGCCGGTCTGTTATGCATAGTTTTACACGCGGGCCAGTGCAACGTGACGTCGGAGGCGTGGTAGTTATTTATTTTTAGCGCGGGTCTGCCTGGCCGGCTGATCTTTCCTTTCTTTTTTCGGATTTGCTTTCCTTCTTCTATTTTCGATTTGATTTTCTTTTCTTTTTTGTGGGGAGAGCGTGGCTTTGTACGTGGGTGCGACGGGTGATGGAGCGATTAGGCAGGGCGTCCGACGATAACATTAAGTATTTGTTTAGGTTTTTTTAGGTGTAATAGATATATACTCCCTCCGATCCCAAAAAAGGGTATGAGTCTAGATTTTACTATATTTGACCAAATTAATAAAAATATTATCAATATTTATATGTTAGAATACATGTACTATGAAAAATGTATTTCATAAATAATACAATAATACTTATTTGGTATCCCAAGGTTTACTATGTTTTATATATTTAGATAAATTTAGAAATGATTGACTTTTTGGAGGCCGAGATTACACGTTTTTGTATGATGACCGAGGGAGTATAGTGATTGACCAGTCAGGCATTGCAAATGGGAAGTCGCGACTCGCGAGTCCATTTCCGTCCATCACGGTATGCATGCGTACATGGTGACATTTTTTTTTTGAGGAACATGCTGATTACGAGCCTGATCGCTGGGCAGGGACTGGCTGGGCTGGCTGGCCAGCCCCCTCACGTTGCTATTATTCACGTGAACCAGCCAGTAGTACTTCTCTTTCACATAAACGAACCAGCAACGATACGAACCAGCCAACCGAACAAGCTGTAAGCCGCGCCAGCGAAAGCTGTAGCATGGAGGCCCGTGGGCCGTACTGCAATTCTTGCCCGCGTAACTTTGCCGGCCCAAGTTACACACACTCATCGATCTCTACCCCACCGATTTGGTCCACCACCAATTTGCCAATTGAGAGGGAGGATGCTGAGCACCTACCGCTTCGCGACGGACATGGACCGGTGGCCTCCCTCCGGCTAGGAACTATGGGGTGGTGGAGGCAGAGGAAGATGGAAACGCGACTTCGCGTGCGGCGGACGCGTCAGTGGCACGGTGCATGCCGTTTCGTCTTCGAAGGACCGGAGAGGGTCCGGCCATTGACGTGCGCAACGGCGCAGCGAACGAGCGCGCGGGGGCGCAAGCCGACGGCGGCAAGGAGGAGGCAGTGGGGTGGAATTGGGTTATCACCGCGGCAGAGGCTCCCTGTCGCCGGACTCACCGCCTACGGGACGCGCCGACGCCTGGATAAGGTTTTGCTCACCGGGGAATGGTGCGCCGCTGTCGGACGCACTCGGCAGCGTGTTCCGCGTCACGCTGGGCCTCCGCAACGCCGAGCTCGGCATGCTACGTCGATCTAACTTATGACCTCACCTTGAGGTCATGCTCAAATCTTATAGAGCTGTTTTCCTTTAGAAAAAGCAATTCAGAAATACTTTACAAATACACTTATACTGGCAATGAATCTCCATGGATTTATGGCCAAGATTAAAAGATCACGTACACTTATACCAACAGACCTGAGGGTAGTTTATATTTTTTCCAGCACAGTTTGACATCGTTAGAGCCAAAAGTGGACAGAACGGCACATATGGCAAAAAAAGCTCGTAACAGTGGCACCTGTGATAACTCAACTTTTTTAATGGCTTATGGACCATTACAAACTTTTATAATAGCACATAGGGAAAAGACTCCTAGCTCAATATAGGTGTGTTTGGTTGCCTAGCCTATCCAAACCCGCTAATTTTCTAAGCCAGGGCGGTCAAAGCCTGGCTAGTGCTATACTAGATGCACTTGTTTGGTTGCATGAATTTTTAGAATTGGTGTGTTTAGTTGTCTCACTTGGCTTGCATAGAATCACCTCATCTTTGTCACGGTAAGTTTACCCCCTATCACACATTCTCATGAACAGTGGCGAGCATCGTTTGTAGCTACGTCGAGTTTGCGTCGTTCATGGCCGGTGATGGTGTAGCTGCACCATGTCTTCGACACGGGTCTAGTGGGCTGGAGCCATGGCTGTAGCAACGCGCCATGGAGGCACCCTCGAACCTCAAACTCCTCTTCATCCTCGCGTGGTTGCATCCACGTCCCCGTGTTGGCGTCCTATCGTGCGGTGGTGGTGCATCAATGTAATAAAGTTGCCACTCGTGTCGGTCATGCATGTCAACTTGGCAAGCATATTCATCTATCTTTCTCTAGTTCATTATCATGTACTTCTACTCTGTTTGAACTTTTACATTGTGATGTGTGGACATCCCCTGTTTTGAGTATTTCTGGTAACTCTTACTATTTAGTTATCCTAGATGTCTACACTCATTGCTATGGACCTTTCCACTTCGGCAGAAATCTGATGTCCATCACCACCTTACGCAATTCTATGCCTTTGTCCACACGCAGTCCGTACTCCCCGTCGAGTGCCTTCAAGCCGACAATGGCACTGAGTTTGTGAACAACGCCACCGCTAGCTTCCTCGTAGCCAAATGGCATCCTGGGGTGTCTCTCCTATCCCTACACCTCGACCTGAACGGGCAAGGCCAGGCATAGCCTGCGCGCCATCAACAATATAGCGCGCACTGTCCTTCTTCATCTTCCATATGTCTTCTGTCGACTGGGCCGAAGCTCTCACCACAACCAACTATCTTCTTAATCGCCGCCCATGCTCCACCATACACGTTGAGATCCCTTCTCTCGGCTCTCGGTCAGTAGCTTGACCTGTCCCATCTTCGTGTCTTCGGGTGCCTCTGCTACCAGAACCTTACTGCCACTTCCACACATAAGCTCTCTCCACGGTCCACTGACTACGTATTCCTCGGTTACCCCTCTTCCCACAA